TGTTCCAAAAGTTCCGGAATTTGCAACGAATTGCTTAAGGGGTTGTTTAAATCGGGTTGCATTGATGATGCCCTCCAGGTGATTGACGAAATGCTTGAACGGGATTCTGATTTTCCTCCCGATGATTTCACGGGGGAAGTTGTTTTTGGGGTGTTGGGGAAGCAGGAGCGCCATGGAAGAAGCTTTGCTGATAATGAAATTGTGGGGTTGGTTACCAAGCTGTGTGAGCATGGAGTTTTCCCTGATGCGTTTAAGCTTACCCAAATGATAACGAAGATGTGCCGGCACCGGAAGAATGGTGTGGCGTGGGATCTTTTGCATGTTGTGATGAGATTGGGTGGTGCAGTTGCGGTTAAAGCTGCGTCTTGCAATGCTCTGTTAACTGGGTTGGGAAGGGAGAGGGACATTCAGCAGATGAATAAACTGATGGCAGAAATGGAAGAGATGGGGATAAAGCCCAGTGTTGTGACCTTTGGGATTCTTGTTAATCATTTGTGCAAAGCTAGGAGGATTGATGAGGCACTGGAGGTATTTGATAAGTTGAGCGGCAAAGGAGAAGGTAATGATAGGTTTGATGTTGAGCCTGATGTAACGGCGGTTTGTCCAATTTAACGGCAGACTTGTAATTGATTCAATTTTACAAAAACAAGGACTCAATTGAAACGCCGAAAAGAAAGAGGACCTATTTGACATTCATGACCAAAATAGGGACCTACGGAGACATTAAACCTTTCTTTTATTCCATAAATACTCTATATTTTCCCACTATTTTCTTGGCTTAAATTTAAACTTGTGATATATTACAAATATAAGATTCAGAAAAAACATCAATATTAGTGTTTTTACCACTTCAATTTTATAAACTTAAAAGATGCAAATACAAAATAATAAACATAATAATATTAATAGTAAATAATATATCATTATTATTATATAATAACTTTATAATGACGAAAGAACTAAATTAATTTTAAATCTTTAACAAATAACTTTTCTTTTATATTTTAAGTATTTTATAATATCTTTATATTATTTATCTAATAAATTAAATACTTTATTCAAGTTATTTGAGTCTATCAGTAAGTTAAAACATAATATAATGTTAAAAATTATAGATATTAAATGTAAAAAAAATACACATA